AAAAAAAAAAAAAAAAGGGCTAGGGGTAGGTGGGAAATCTGACTTTACATTGTAGAAGACTTAAAAATTTCCACTTTGCACCTCAAAGTTCAACAAATTTCTCACATTGTACCCTTAATATTCTAGGTTGTTACGATATAACCATGCAATTAGCTTTTATTGCTCGTTCCACCAAAAACACCACATCATAATCTAACAAGAAGTTACATTGGAACATATTTAATACATTAAAAATGCAATGTAAAATATCTAATTGTTGCGAATTCTTAAATCTTTGGGGTGCAAAAAATGGGAAAAATGTTCTGGGACACGAAAGGAAAAACCATTTAAAAAAAATAAACACAGATTTAGTCCAATATGAGGAATCATCACGAATGAAAGAAAGTTCTCAATTCCAGATAATATCCGCAGATCCATCAACAATGGAGCCGAAACTTTGTGTGTAGCAAAAAAGATAACTGGTGACAACTACAGCAGCAACACCATTGATACAGTACAGGGTTAGTTTCTTAGTCTTGGGGGTTATATATAGAACGGTTAAGTCGAGATACAAGACGAAAAACACAACAACATTAGATAATGAAAATAGAAACCAACTACAACAGCCTGCTAAGAAACAGCAGAAAACTGGACCAGATGATTACAAATAAGAGAACAACATGCATAAACAACAATTTTACTTCCAGAGCTTAACAATCTTGTCATGGCTAGCCGAAGCAACCAAGCCCATTGTTGTTGACACAGACAAGGCAGAAATAAGTCCTTCATGTGCTGAAAGAGTCATTGTCTTGTTCTCAGTCATATTCCAAAGCTCCAGAGACTGTCAAAAAACGCTCACAGTAGATCAAAAAAAAATTCCCAAGTCAATGACAGGATTAGGAAGGTGTCGAGCAGTATATATAGAGTTATATACTCACTAAACCTTGATTTAGTAAAGTGTATGCATGTTCTATGCAAGGTAATACACTAGCACCTAATACATATACAACTTAACAGGTGCCAATCAATTTCCAAAGAAAGTTTCCACCATATACTAAGTAACTAACTGGAAAAGGTGGTAAATGACTGCAGATGTAACACTTTAGTTAAGGAGGAAACTCAAACCAAATGCAATAATACTTAAATGCGCGAATGATTCATGTTGCCTGCACAAAGAATTGCATAACAAAACAATAAACAAAAACGTAGAAATGACTTGCCTGGTAACAACCAATGACCAGCAATGAAGGATACGTAGGATGGAAAACACAGGAGTGGAATTTATTGCCATTACAACTAAGCTCATGAACACAATCCCCTTCACCTCCTGATCCCAAAGTCCAGACTCTAACAGAATCCTCACTGACAGATGCCAGGAATTCGCCAGTAGGATCCCAGCAGACAGAATCAATTTGTTTTGTATGCCCCTAGCAATTACAGAACCCAAATCCAAGGTCAGGTGTGCCACAGTAACAGAAAACATGAGAACAAAGGTGGGACATTTGCTACTAAAAGATCAGATCACATCAATCAGCTGAAACATTAGAAACGGAGGCAAGGAGGTGTGGGAAAAAAAGGAAAGAAAGAAAGTGAAAAGGAAAAGGTATACCAACAACAAAATAATAACATATATCATGTGAAGGATAACACATTAGCATCCCACCTAACTCCAACCCATTATCTCCATCACATAGCCAAAGAAGCTCAAACTAAATAGCCGTTGGCCTTTTGTAGATTCAATCAGTCAAGGTTCCCCTCTGATCCTAGAATTTAAACTTTCAGTTTAACTAAAAATATCCTAAGGATCCGCCGTCCAGCCACAAAAGCGTTCTGCAACACTGAAACACCTCATCAGCTACCAGCCAAATTCTTAAAAAAATGCACTTTAGCCATCAACTTATACATGCTTCCCCAATGAACTTATTGTCTGAAGTTTCTGGCATCCACTGAGTTCCTTTTTTGTCAACCAACGCAATAAAAAAAGATTAAAGCAGTACTCAAAGTTCCCATACTCATAAAAATAGGGACTTGGATGATGCTGAGCTTGTTTATGAGTTGTTGGAAGATATTTCCTTGGAAGAGAAGAAAGTTTTAGAGGTAGTGCAACCTTGCTTGTGCTGCATGGCAGAAGACCAAAATCTATCAAAGGAGTTGAACTTTCTACAGGCATACTTAAAACCTTGATGCTGAGTGCTGTTTTTTGATGGATTGTAGGCACATGCCATGGCTCTTTTGATTCCTTTGGATAGCTTTTAGAAATGGTGAATTTAGTAGAGATAGATATGTTCTGTGTATGTATAGCTCGTGTATTACCCAAGTCGCCACCTCTTTCTTTAGCTCTTGCAGAATAAGCAATTCATGTATCGAAGTATAGGGTTGCTCTATTGTGACATAGAATCACATGACCTAGACGTCACGAAGTCATGGAAATAGCCACACATGGGAGTAAACTCAGTAAAGTTGCATACAACTGAACATCCCCAGACGCCAATTGCTGAAGCCTCGTGCAGTAAGCTACCTTTTTCTTATGTATCCAAGTATCAAATCAACATAGTCAATTAGTCATTCTACAATATATCACTAAAATATTAAACCAATAAGTTTGATATTCTCTAATGCTGGAAGTAAGGATGCTCTAAGAAGAGGCGGCCAAGTTCGGTTTGCTTTGAAATCCATCTTAGAATCAGGAACCCACCACATTTTTTGCAGTATAACAACCAGCAATTTGACATATAAAAGTAATATTCATCACAAAATATGAAACGTTTTCAACTGACTGAAACTAAAGAAAATTAATGTGTTTGACCAAGTTTTGGGATCTAAGAAATATATTATAGATATTAGAGGCTAACAATTGATTCAGCGTATAAAATAATCACTATTAGCACAGATAGGAAGTGAACAGGAGTAGTATGAATGGTGTAGGAATATAAAAAAGGAAAATTTGTGGATTTTGCCGTCTTTTCAGGTTGGTAAGTATTCTTCCTTTCTATATTTAATAGAGATACAAAAAAATCAGATGTTCAAATTTAGTTTCTCAGCCATATTTATGTAAACAAAACATGGAATACATTGTTCATTGTTGAAACAAATACAATAGATGAGTCGTTAACAAATATATTTGCCAGAGTTTTGGTTGGTTGGGTTTTCTTTTTTTTTCTTTTTTTGTTTGAGGGTGAGGATGTAGACAGACGCCCCTCTGTAAATTGATCTCTGTCCAACAGTGTCATCAAATTGTTTAATCAGTTAACACAACACTATATTCTTTTGAGTAATCTTCCCCCTTTTTATGTTTTCTTTCTCCATATAGTTGTTTTTTCTTTGCAGGGCATACTGATGTAGACTCAACTGCTTATTTAGAAATATAAAACCAATAGTTACATTTTGCCACCAGACCCTGGAGACATGCAAACAGAAGCCAACCTGTAATGTTTGCTGACAAGCTTGAGTCTCCACATCCAGTATGGATACAACATTATCTGCAGCTGCAGCAAGATATCTTCCATGACGTGGTTGGAATCTCATCTGAGCCGTGCCACCCTGATCCAAACAGAGATGATAAGACCAACAGAATCAACAACCCAGGAAAATTGCTAAAAATAAAATAAAATAAATGCCTTTTTATACCTTGAAAACTCCTGCACAGCTACCAGCGTTAATACTCCAGTATCTAATTTCACCATCTCCATCACAAGAGCAGATAAGGTCATCTTTGTTCGGGTGGAAGTCAAGTGACATTACAGATGCAGAATGCCCAGTAAAGGTACGAAGTGAATAGCCAGGCTGTGGTTTGAGTCATACATCATGTTAAGGGAACATGTAGAAAAACTGGGGCATCAGAACATAAAAAGATAAACAAATACAACCAAATCAAAAATAAATCTCTTTATCTAAAATCCTTTCTGAAACCTAATGAAGCAAACAAACTGAAAAGCGTAATCAAATTGTTTCAATTTTTGTAGGTATGCAAGCAATGCATAAACAAAATTATTTAACACTCATATTACTCAATATTCAGACAGCAAGATCAATCCATGCCGATCAATTTAGGAAGATCTTGCACAATGATGTCCCTTTTAAGCAGGATCTATGCTTTCACCAAGGAAGAAAAAACATGGACGCGGAGTATCCTAGCAATTTACCATCCAAATTGCACGAGAAGAAATGGAACGCCTTTTTACTTTAGAGCATTAGATCATGGTAAACTAGAACATCACAATTATTTCCATAACTATTTCCCTAATTCAAAGAAAATAGAAGTACTTATTTTGAAGCCTAAAACAAGACATCAGAACTGGTTGAGTCGTAGCACTATGGCCACTACAAGAAGTCGAGGTAAACAACATAGAAACCCCAACTGTGAGATAACAACAGAGCACAACAGTTTATATATATGCAAGAATCTTCATTCGCTAGTAATTTATCTAGCTTTACTCTTATTAGAAACCGAATATGTTATGATTGCCAGAAAATAAGAAGAAAAAAACCGCAAAGGAAAGCACCTGATATCATGTAACATGGCAATTACAAGCCAGTCATGATAACTAATAGGTTGTAAACTTCATAAAAGTGCATGACCAGAAAGACAACAAAGCATGTCCCACATGTATGTCGTACATGGGCACAAAGGTAGAATGTGTCATAACAGTAGCAAGTCTCTTTTGGTAACATGTATGGTCTGAGACTAAACAGGATGCCTCAAAGGAGTTGGAGTCCATGTTGGACATATCAGAAACCAAAACTTCTCACATCGAGTCAAATGTCCAACACCTCTTGAAAATGTCCCTGATTCAAGATTATATGCATTGGCAACTTTTTGGACATGCAACAATACTTGATCAGTTGATCTACAAAGCTCGGTGAATGCAACATGAGAAGAAGATTCAAATTTCTAAAAATTGGCAAGGGATGGGAAGTGTTTACCACACGAATAAAACTATAAATTGCGTCCTCACCATTCACATCTGTGGCATGCAATTATTGATAATCATGAGAGGAGTTTTTTCAGATTTCAATCTAAATTTGGAGAATATTTATTTCATTTACCATAGAAACATATTTCTTTTAGATGGGGGGGAAAAAAAAGGGTTCTTTTGTGACTAGTCCTACTTTTATGCTTTGCCATATCGTCTAATTTTTGTATTTTGTATCCACTTTCATAGGGACGGAGCCAATAATTTTTTGTTAGGGGGGCCAAATGGTAATATCTATCCAAAAAATTTTGTTTAATGAAGAGCATCAATTTTTTTTGTGTTTTTTTTTTAATAAAATTGAGAATATGACTATTTTTTGTTAAATTAATTGCATGTGAAAATTTTCAAATTAATTCCTCAAATAATCTGCAATTACACTGAATTTTATTACACAATAGCTCGGGGGCAGCTAAATTTCATCATGTTTATGTGAAATACAAAAGGCCAAATAAAATGAAACGGAGAGTGTACAGAACACTCAAATACATATTTTATAGGACATTACACCCCAAATCTGTTGGGTTTGGATAAATTACTTTTTACCCTTATAAGCTATGATCCTAATTTCACTTTCTTCCTCAACTATCGATTTGAATAAGCACCACCACTAATCATACTGATATGTGATATTTTGTACAAACCATTATTATTTTAGTTTTGAACAAGTCTTTAAATTTTACATAAATATAACCTGTTTCTTTTGTTAAACCTCAATGATATGAAAGCATAATTTTTTTGGTAGGATAAAAAAATTTAAGTGACTATTTTGAATGATTAATGGTTGACCTTGCTTTTAAACCAATAATTGAGAGATAAAAAAAATTTCAAGACCATAATTTAAAGGTATAAAGTATATTTTTAAAAGTTTGAGAGGGCCATGTAAAATATAATCAAAAACAATGTTGGAGGTAGAAAGGATAATTTTAAAAACTTGAGGGGGGCCATGGCCCCCCTTGGCCATAACTATGCTGCTTCACTGCACTTTCATAAGTCAAAGGTCAAGGCTAGCGTCTGCCTGGTGAACATAGGCATTGGTCTCAAATATGAGTTTGGATACAATATACTCACAAGGAAAAAGGTTCTAGTGTTATTTTCACACTGTTGACTGATACAGCCGTAAAACACGCCCCCCCCCCCAAAAAAACAAAATAACTGCAGACACCCTAGAATGCTGGAGTAAATGCACTTAATTTACTTCAAGTCCTTAGAATAACATTCAAGAAGAAAGGAGAACATATACAAACAACTCTTACCATGATATCGCAAAACTAAAATGGAGCAAACACAAAGGCACCGACCAATGTGCAAATAACATAAAGATGCAAGGGTCAAATTATAGCATAAAATGACGAGGACAGATTGTTATAGCAAGAACATCAAGGGAAAACATTGTAAGAAAAACCAGGAATATCACAATAAGTGGGTAAGTGAAGAAATTGTCAACTAACATTATCAGCATCCCAAACCCTGACTGTTTTGTCAAATGAGGATGTTGCGAGACGTGGAATGCTAGGACTGAATCGAACATCAGTAATTATCGCCGAATGTTCTTCAAGTGTAGATTTTGCCTTTAAAGTTTCTGTATGCCATAACACAGCCTACATCACAAGATCAACAGACAAAATTCTACAAATTAGAACTCTGAAGATCTGATCATTCAATATTAAAGTTTTGTGCAGCATACATTTATTGCTTTCAAGTATGCATCTCTCAATTGTTTATATGTTTCGATCCACGTTATTGGTGCTCACCTTTTTATCATGGCCACCAGTAGCAAGCAGTTTTCCATCTGATGAGAAATGACAACAAACAACTTTGTTTGCACTTGCACGAACAGAATTGAGTTCCGTAAATGTGAACCCTAAATTAAAAGCAGAAGCAGTGCCATATCAGAAACTTTTAACAGATTAAAAAAAGAGAATTTATGATATAATATAGACAGATTTATGATTACACATATTTCCCAGTATCAAACAGAGAACCTAAGCTCTCCCTCTTTTTTGAAAGATGAAGTAAAAACTGTTCTGCAGTACACGTGCAGAGATACTATATATTATGAATATATTTAAATTTTTACTTGAGGTCACCAAAAATAAGTTTGAAAGGAAAGCATTGACATACAAATACCAACACAATATGATCATATTCATTTTCTATATATAAAAAAGGACATTAAAAAGCAGTATATTGAGAACAGTCACAAACAATTTGAGAAGACGGAAAAATAATGAATTAAAAAGAAGAAAAATATTGAAACCACAATTACAAACCAATTTTTTATTTCAGTAAATAGGTATGGATGAAACATTAAGCATATTTTCAAAAGTTTGCAACATGAAGGATCAAATGCAACATTAATGGATACATACATCAGAAATTAACCACAACAAAAAGCAAGAACACTAAAGAATTTTGAGGAATTTGAGCCTATTTCAAGTAGCTACTTGCTCACCTTTGCTGACATCCATACAACGACCAACACTATCCCTGGGGTCTGTATCATCATGAGATAAAAAAGACTCGACATTATCATCAAGAGATCCGTCTTCCCCAAAACGATCCATGTCAGCCTGCACAAGATCTTTATCATCCCACTGCCAAGAAAGGAATGCCAATAAGAACCCATGCAACAAAACAAGAAATTTCATTCCCAGATACAAGAAAATACAAACTTCACTAACCAATTGATTTGAGGGTGAAGTAAGAGTGCCAGCACCATCAGTGCCAAACATTATCAAAGGCTTCGAAGAACTACCAGTATGTGGCAAAGCAGGCATGGAGATCACATCTCCAGGTGTATGAGTTGACGGTGTGGAGGGTGCTGAACTGGGAGATGGTCCTGCTGTATTTGCAGTTCCGGTGCTATTGGCAGGTCCTGAAGATGACACAGGGTGCTTTCTCTTTCTCCCAGTCTGATTTTTTGAAGCCTTAAAATAATCGAAAAAGCCTGTTAGGAATCACCCACCATGCATAAAAAGCGAAGAAGTTCTCAACCAGCGGCCTCAGCTCAAATAGATATTACTACCTAACTGCCCAAGGTCATAGTGTCAACACGTTTTATTTTCGTCAATAAATGCTTTGGGAAATATTTTCATATCTTTCTTTTTTTGGTCAAAACATCGTTTATCTATAGTATATTTTAAAAAAGAGCGGTCAAGTGGCACAAATATTTTGCTCTCCCCTAATAGCAACCTAACAGCAAAAAGTCCTTATCTATTGTTGAAATATGTAGTGACTGACTATAACAAGGCCCAACTTCATGGGAGATCAATAATATGTTGCAAGATAAATCAAGCAAAACTAAAAGTGACCAAGTAAGATAAATATGAACAAAGGAAGTTTGAAGCAGATGTCCACTCCTAAACAACTGACTATTTGCAAACAAACAAGCCCGGAGAGAGAGAGAGGGAGGGAGATTCAAGGATGAAAGAAAGGTGAAAAGGTTAAAGACAAATGACCATTGGTGTTTAATCCCACTCAATACATAGGATTAGTGGTAAATAATATTAATGTTCTCTTTTCTTTTCGTTTTTTTTTTTTTTTTTTTTNAACGACCAACACTATCCCTGGGGTCTGTATCATCATGAGATAAAAAAGACTCGACATTATCATCAAGAGATCCGTCTTCCCCAAAACGATCCATGTCAGCCTGCACAAGATCTTTATCATCCCACTGCCAAGAAAGGAATGCCAATAAGAACCCATGCAACAAAACAAGAAATTTCATTCCCAGATACAAGAAAATACAAACTTCACTAACCAATTGATTTGAGGGTGAAGTAAGAGTGCCAGCACCATCAGTGCCAAACATTATCAAAGGCTTCGAAGAACTACCAGTATGTGGCAAAGCAGGCATGGAGATCACATCTCCAGGTGTATGAGTTGACGGTGTGGAGGGTGCTGAACTGGGAGATGGTCCTGCTGTATTTGCAGTTCCGGTGCTATTGGCAGGTCCTGAAGATGACACAGGGTGCTTTCTCTTTCTCCCAGTCTGATTTTTTGAAGCCTTAAAATAATCGAAAAAGCCTGTTAGGAATCACCCACCATGCATAAAAAGCGAAGAAGTTCTCAACCAGCGGCCTCAGCTCAAATAGATATTACTACCTAACTGCCCAAGGTCATAGTGTCAACACGTTTTATTTTCGTCAATAAATGCTTTGGGAAATATTTTCATATCTTTCTTTTTTTGGTCAAAACATCGTTTATCTATAGTATATTTTAAAAAAGAGCGGTCAAGTGGCACAAATATTTTGCTCTCCCCTAATAGCAACCTAACAGCAAAAAGTCCTTATCTATTGTTGAAATATGTAGTGACTGACTATAACAAGGCCCAACTTCATGGGAGATCAATAATATGTTGCAAGATAAATCAAGCAAAACTAAAAGTGACCAAGTAAGATAAATATGAACAAAGGAAGTTTGAAGCAGATGTCCACTCCTAAACAACTGACTATTTGCAAACAAACAAGCCCGGAGAGAGAGAGAGGGAGGGAGATTCAAGGATGAAAGAAAGGTGAAAAGGTTAAAGACAAATGACCATTGGTGTTTAATCCCACTCAATACATAGGATTAGTGGTAAATAATATTAATGTTCTCTTTTCTTTTCGTTTTTTTTTTTTTTTTTTTTGGGAGGGGAAGGGGGGGGGGGGGAGGAGGAACAGAGAGAGAACAGAATTCAACACCAAACAAACTGAAACCCAGCAGTCAGTCCACAAGGACCCTGGTCCCATCTATTGAAAACCCAAATGACTAAAACTGAACTCAATACTAGGAGAAACGAAGAAGAAATTACAAGAATTTTGAAATACCTATAAACTACTACAGGTAGATCTTTTCCACATCCGCTTAAGTAAATTAGCTTAAAGAAAGTGCGGACAGAGAGATGGAAGACAGACACAGATTTTCCCTTAAAAATAATTAGAAAAGAACAGACCTGTTCATTTCCTCGGAAGGAATTTGATACACTGCCATCCCCTGTGACACTGCTAGCACCCACAATTTTATCACGCTGAATACTGTGGTTTGAATTCTGAGGTTGCTGGCTTGAAAGAGCATGCTGTTGAAGCTGCTGCTGTTGTTGATTACTGTTCTGTTGTTGCTGCTGGTGTAACTGAGCAATTTTCATCTATACATACAGAAAAAATTTAGGGAATTAAAGAGTCCTCAAGTCCATATCGTATCTATAGCAACACATGATAAAACCCAAATAAAGAATCTTGAATGCAAAACTTCAACTACATAAACACGGATGATCTCCAGACAAGGAAAAGGACCTTGAGTAACATATCTGGATCTCCACGAGGCAAAACAGGGCAACCAGTTTGCAAAGGTGATCCGACATTTGGAATTACATCGCCAACAGAATTTGAAAGGCTATCCTTTCCCATACTCAGGCTTCGATTGTTCATAAGCATTCTTAGCCTTCTGCTTTCTACATCACTGCCAGACGGAGATGTCAGATTTTGCTGTGCTAGCATAAGTTGGTGCTGGTGCTGGGGTGTTAGCATCTGAAGTTGATGAAGGGGTTGAGCACCCTGCATAAATGGCTTTTGCTGCTGAAGAAACCCAGAACGAAGCTGATCTAGACCCTAGAGAATGAGGCAAATGATGAAACAGTAGGGAGAAATAAATAATTTATGACAAAAAGCAATTGAACTGCAAAATACTAATGCATCTCTTCACACCAATGCAGAAATGCCCAAACTAATTCATCTGATGCAATAAGACGCACAACCACCAGTTAAGTACCCTCCTCATGCAGGCTATTTAACAATAAATGCATTTGTGAAGGGACAGTGAGAAACAAATGGCTTGGCTCCAGCTAGTAAGCAGAAGTCAATAAACAAAATTCCAAATTCTAGAAAATATAAAGAAGAGGCTACCAATGTCTGATTGAGATAACTGTTCCTAGTCGTTCCACTCAGTTGATAGCCAAATTTGGCAGGCTTAGAGGAGTTGATCTTCAAATAGAGACTTCCCCAATTTTGTTTGCAGTACAAATTAAGCAGGACCGAATTAAGCTACAAAAGTAGGATTAACTGGGAAAAGAAAAACAGTCGACCTATTTCACTCATGGTGGAGAAATCAAGCTGGTTTCATGGTGTCAATTTTTTCAAAGGAAATGTCTCGTGTCTTATTAACTTTTTGTACATCTCTTCCTTTTAACTACTAGAACATAATTATCCACATTTAAATACATTAAAAACGGCGGTCCAGTATATGAGGCCCTCGCCTCTGTGTAGGGTCAGGTGTACGGAGCCTCTATTTTCATGACTCGAACTCTTGACTCCCAGATTACAATGAGCAACGTTATTGTTACCAAGGCCCACCCTCTATCCACATTTAAATACATGTGCACAAATTGTATGGGCACACAATTATTGCATAAAAAAAAAAGCCCACATGTATGTATTTCCCACAGTCATAACTTCTAGAAACACGCCTTAACCCTTTCAATTTGAAAAATAACTAATGCATTCAGAACAAACACAAAATTGTCAAATTAAGGGGACAAGCATAAAGCGCATGGAACAATAATAGACTTACTGTGAGAGGCCACCCTTTTAATGTCAAATTGTTACCACCTTGATTTGATCCTAAAAAAAAAAAGATTGTCTCAGTTTATTCAGTCCCTATCAAAAACGGGAGTATAGCCATTAAGTTCCAATTTCCCATAGACAAATACAAGCAATTAATCAAGCAAGGATTTGAGATCTGTTATAATCAACTATATGATACGAAGAGGACAGAAGCTGAACAAAGCATAGAGAAGGATATAGACAAGAATACCCGGAATTCCAATAAGTGATCCTTCAGGACCAGCAGCTCTTGGGTTCAGTATTGGATTTATCTCTGTCTTTATGTCCTGTTCACACAAAGATATAAAAGCAAACAGAACATGAGAGTAGAGACAACCGACAACTTACAGGAATAACTTGATATTTTTTTAGGGAAAAGATACTGACGGGTGTAGACCCTGATAGTTGCTGATTCCGAGCTTGAACTTGCGGGGACATACTGCCAGCTGTACTATGCAGCACTTGCCTGAAAGTAAAGGATTTTAAATGCACACAAAGAGCATTAGATTAATTAACTAGATCCTCAATTAATCTAAACTAAACAGAACATTACATGAAACAAAAATATTCCATTTTCTTTCCATAGATGTGACGAGATAAAGTTCATAACAGCACAGAGCAATTGCAGAAAGATGGCCAATGCCAGAACAAATAATACCATAGTGCAGCAACTTTTATCATCTCTTGGAATTTTTAAAACAATCCCACACGTGGATTCACTGAATATCTGAGTACCAAGAAAAAAAGGTCAATTAAAATGTCACATACAGCAAAATCTTTGTTTTTTCCTTTTTCTTTCTTTGTTTTCTCCCATTCTGATATACCAAGTGCCAACATTAATATAGCAATCATTTTCTTTGGAAGGAGACTTGAGAAGTCTTCGCTCCCACTTTTTTAAAATCTATATTTTCAAATTATTAAAAGCAAATACAATTTTTTCTCCAATTAACACGTGTCATAACTATCCCTGTTAAATCTCCCATTAAACCGACTGCTTCTCACCACACCCATATTGAATTGACTCCTAACTCAACCCTAACTATAACTTTCCACTTTAAACCCCACATTAAACCAATTACTTCTAAATCTCCCACTTTCAGTACAATCCCCACTTTATCTCCGACTGCTAATCCATACATATCAGCGTCTTTCACCAATATAGAGTTAGAGATGAGAACTTCCCTGAAATACTTTATCTGGGAGAGGGTGGAGCTGGGGCTAGGGGTGACACTAGACCGAGATTTCAAATGCCAAATCTTTGTTGATTTTTTTCCTTTTTCTTTCTTTGTTTTCCTCCGTTCTGATATACCAAAGTGCCATATAAAACAAGATATAACAAATTTGCACAATGCTATTTTATATGCTCCATATGGAAAAAATTATTCATCACAGATTAAGGTGTATACAACAATACCCCGAAGGCTGGCCAGCAGCAGCAGCTGACTTCAGTATTGACGCATGATTTGGATCCAAAAGCTGGCCTACATTCTCACCAAATCTTTGCTGTAAGGGAAAAAAAATAAAATCTGTAAATTAAAGAGTTACAAAGATGGAAGAATTTATGTTTACAAACTCACGTGATACTTATTTACCTTCAAAGCCCCATCGTCCAAAGAATCCCTCTGAATAGGCAGTTTTAGTCTTTCTTCATACATCTTTGTAGCCAAGGCGTTGGCAGTTCCAGGGTTCTGCCTCATTAGAGGGTCATTTCCAACAAGTCCATTAGCTGTGCCATTAAGGAGGTGGGCCCCATCTCTTCGCTGCTGCTGCGGCTGCGGCTGCGGCTGCTGCTGGGCTTGTTGCTGCGCTTGTTGTGGATGCTGCTGCTGTTGTTGCTGATGCTGCTGATGCTGATGCTGTTGTTGCTGATGCTGTTGTTGCTGATGCTGCTGCTGCTGCTGCTGCTGCTGTTGTTGTTGTTGTTGTTGTTGTTGCTGCTGCTGCTGCTGCTGATGAGCATGTCTTTGCAATAAAAGCTGCTGCATCTGTAACTGCTGATGCTGTTGTGTAGGGTGCTGTGGTTGTTGAGGTTGCTGCTGCTGCTCCCTCGCTTTAATTAACTGAGTCTGCAGAAATTTCAAATATATATCAAATATTCAGCCATCTCCAAAATTAATTGCACAAACTCCTACAAAAAACTAAGCTTTCTACTATCAAGTACATAGAAATAGCATTCAAGTGAAAGAACATTCTAACACAGGGCAACCTTAAATGCAGAAAGAAACACAGATCCTGAATGGGTGAACCTACAGAAATTTTTTGGAATTTGTTTGACCAGAAAGAACAAATTCCCCTCTCATGAATAGGCTTTCATGAAACAAAACTAGGAAATCTGCTCAATTAGGACACAAACTATCCAAAATCCCAACAGTTCAGCGTATAACTGATCTCTGAATCTTTCTGATACAAAGAAAACTAGTCCCTTCACAATGAGAACTTGTTTTGCAAACCATTAGAATCCTCAACCGATTAATGGTATGAGCGCTCTGCTTGAACCACATGGCCCACATCCAGTCATCAAAGTTCTCTATCCACATCGCAGCACAGCCAAATAATATACTGATTACTAATAAAGCAAGAGTAAAGGACTACATTTATCCATCTGCAAAATTTGATAAACCTAGCATAAAAAGGCGCACAATGCCATGTGTGGAAATCCCCTTCTTAGATTCTTAACCCACACTTCAACAGTCCACTGTACTTCCATTTTAATGTAAGTTCAAACATATGCTGCTCTTGCTCGTGGTTTCCAATATTAAGCAACAAACACAGCCCCATACTTCATGAAAGAAGCACCAGCAGTAGGAGAGAATTATAGAATGCTAAGTTAACAACAGTAGAGGTGACAATTTTCTGCATGACACAATAACACAATATGAGCCTAACATGAAATTAGCTTGTTACATTTGACTATTACTTGACAGCTGACACGAATACAAAAATAACACTACCCGCTGACATGAATTATTTTGCCGGGTACGTCAAACACGAATAACCCAATTTTGGTGTGACAAACCTGTTTTCCAGGTATCATTCGAAGAAAATGTCGTTTCACCATTTTTTCTCTTTCTCAGTTTCATAGTCTTAATCTCATAAAATTAGAGGATCTGGTCCCTGGTGTCAATAGCAACTGGATCGAATAGTTTTCATTTTCATAGGAGGGTAAAGAGTGATAAGTTTGGTCGAGAGAGAAGGGAATCCCAGGTCAGTGTCAGGTCATTAGATATGATTAATTAAACATTAAGATTGGTGTCCTTAGTACTTCAGAAAATGTCACGCTTCTGATCATTAGGCAGAAAGTCCCGCAACTCCCTAGCAAACTTCAGAGCAGAAGCTAGCTACTGCACAACTATGCCAAGAAAATTAGGGTACTCTCAGAACAGACCGAAGCACCACAGAAATCCAAAAAGAAAAATGATTCACACATTCTTTTTATGCCACTGTAACTAGCACACATAAATTAGCAAAATATCTTCTGCAAGTCCAAATGAAGAACAGAAATATTAAGCCGGAAGCAAGCAGAAATGTCATAATGCTAGTCACAGCAGTCTTCAGTTTTAGAGATGGATGGAGGAGGATAAAACAAATTCAAAAACAATAAAAGTGGACTTAAAATATGAATCTGTCATTTTACAAAAGTAGGGCTGTAATCAAAACTTGGTTTGTTAGTGTCAGATTTGTGTGAAAGCAATACTGTTTCATGCCACATGATGATACGAGTAAAATTAAGCAGAATCTTTTGAGTACAATGGGAAGTTTTAGGATTTGTAGTCTTAAGGTGCCACTTCAGATATTGTTTATGAAGTCTGCCACATTACAGACATGGCCAAATGAGACGCAGCCTAGAAGAACCTATCCCATTAAATAATTGTAGATAATGGTAAACCCTCACCAACCTCAATGTAAGACGCAGCAACTTCTGAGTGCTTTTCATTAGTCCTAGCAATAAATATATCCCAGAACACTGACCACCATTCGAAGAGAAAACCACCAGGAGCATCGATAGCTGAAACAACCATGCCAGAAATTCAACACCAATCAAAAAATAAAACTGGGAACTTAAGAAGGGCTTCTTTTCCCTCCTCTTCACATAATAACTATATAATCTTACCAACAGGGTCCGAAGATACTTTTCCTTCAGCTTGAAAAGCCTGTGCAGAAGCCTTCAAGTCCCTCTTGACTAGGTAATCATGGATATATACATCTAGCCTGTTATTCAAAATGACAAGAACATATTAAGACAGCTATCAGCTGGAAAAAATGAACCTTTGCAAAGGAAAATAGCTTAACAATCTAGGCACAACAAATATAAACCCACATGTATAACACTACGAAACCCAGATTATATCACCAAAAATACAGCTACCCAGCCCTGAAAAATTGATTCTGAACAAACATCACACTTAAACTTCATAATAATACAACAAAGCCAACTCATAAACGACCATAAAACACAGCTCTATACAACACAATCAGCAACCATTAACAAAAAAAGATATTTACATGCTATCACCTGAATATATTTTTTCGGAAGGTAACTATGATCTGAAAATTGCTCGAAACACAAACCCTAGAACACCTATACTTGGTGGAAAACGATCACAATAGACTTGTAAAAAACATAACTTTACTTGGAAATGGAAAACAAAGAAAGAAAGACTATAAAATAAAAGATACACAGAATACAAATCTAACAGAAAACATCAAGATGTGACCTTTAACTGGAAATCAAACACAATACCCATATAATAAACTGAAAAAAGGGAATGAAAAACAGAAATATAAGATATGTGTAATGAAAGCTTACATTTTATCAGCTTCCCAGTTGGTCTGAGACATGTTGCCCAATCGAATATCTCAAACAGCAGTGAACAGTAATGTGAGATCCTAAATTAATGATTTCTTCTGCTTTTTCTCTCTTGGCCTCTGAAACATATCATACCCAGAAAACAGAAAAATACAATCTTTATGTTTCTGGGAATACAAATAAAGATCTTCAAAATAACTGAAGACACAAATATGAAAACAAAGAGACAGTGTAAAAGCTATATAGAGGGTAGAGAAAGAGAAAGAGAAAGAAGAAGATAGATAGATAGATAGATAGATAGATAGATAGATAGAAACCTTTTTGAAGGAAGAGAAGGAAAAGCTTCACTCCTGGCAAAGGTACAGAAGAATATATTTTAATAATTATATACTAATATACCATTTTTTAAAAAAATTAATAAAGAAACAAATAGGGATAACTACAAAACCCAAAAAAACTTTCTTTTGTTTGGGTGCATCTCAAGAAATTTTTTTATTTATTTTTTGTTATTCAGTGATTTTTCATAGCTTTGGTGGATTGAGAGCTGCTGTTGCAGATATCATTATCACTTTAGGGAATGAATTTACAATTAAAGCCCTTTGGTCTTGTCAAATTTTCAGTACAATACCAGGAAAGGAGAGCACCCAGAGCGAGCACCAACTTCTTATATGACATGAAATGCCATTATACTTTGATTTATTTCCTCCAGACTCTGGTTTACAGAATGTTGGATTCTGGCTTAAGATGGGGATTGATATGTCCTTCTGTTCAATTTTAGTAATTTTTATTTTTTTTTGCAGTATGGCACCATTATTTTGGTTTATTTGTAGATAAACCCTTGCCTTCCGGTACTTTTGTGTCTTTTTATCATGTTCTAGATCTTCTTAACCTCACCCCCTTGGCTTGACCCTGATCAGGGTTTGGTGGGTTGTCCAACCTTGCAAAATGACAGTTTTGCCCTTTGATGTCAATAAGAGTCTAAAATGATCTCAAATTTTGCTCTTCAGTCTAGTGGTCAATTAGGTAAGACCAATCTAACTTCCCCATAAAGAAAAGAGGGAGCTAAGTAGCACCATTAGGGTATAGGACATCCAATTTATATTCCTCACATAAAATAGTTCAATTTAGAGCAAGTCAAAAACGTTCTTTTGATGACATCTGTTAAACATAGAAAACAAGAAATTCACATATTAATACAAATAAATCAAGAAGATAATGTTCATTGACCAAAAAAAAAAAAAATCAAGAAGATAATGATTAAAAGAATCAAAGTTTTTTGCAATTGATACAATTGTTTCCATTGGGTTACTTGGTCAAAAATCGAAAGAATAGATATGTTTATCTCTCAACAAAATCAAACGTTTATATGTAATTAATAAAATAACAGTTTAAGCTATATTCTGGTAAGACTAAAAAAAATTACCTTTAGAATAATTCATGCAATACTAAATCTAAAAAGGGAGAAACAAAACCATACAAATTTGAATACTTCTTCCTAGACTAGCAACGGAAATGGGATTTTCTTGAAACAAAATTGTGTTATTTATGTTTTATCGTGATTTGACTCATTTATTTATTTATGTATTATTCGTGTTATTTTTAAATTCTTGCTATGCAATAGATCTTTTACAAAATCAGTATCTTTAAAAGCATTTGATTTTAGAATCTCTAATTTTGTAATGCCAACTATTGATCAACTTGTCTATCATTTGGGATTATTTTATTTTCTTCTCCAAGCAACTTGCTATCAACATTTCTTTGATATTGCAAAGGTGATGACCCAAAACGAGTCAACTCAACTTCTTGAATTTGATTACTTCAACAATGGGTAGTTTCGTCTTTTGTCCAAACCAAACACAGAAAACACGTTTTTGTCAATTCGAGGACTTTCTTCATTCAATTCTGTTCTGTGAATTTATTGTTTGGACCAACGAGTAAAGGGCTTACGTGGCTAAATGCGATTTAAACAATCTTCTTTGAAAAGACAGTCAGGCCCCCCTGATTGTTGATTTTATTTTCATAAAAGGGTATTGTTACCGTTTTAGCAAATTAATATGATACACGGGGGGGCATTTCAGAAATTCACGGTGACATTAAGTGTCATGTCACTAT